TCGTTACTTAATCTTCACTTACATCAATTACGATATCATTTTAGCATCTCAAAAGACGAGGGTTTCATATAAAACAGCATAGTTTGTTAATTTACTTAACAATGCACTTCCATATAACAAGCGAACGTCTAAATAGAGCGTTTAAATAGATTACACGACGGTCTCCCCAAACATGCACGATTTAACATTAAACGCGAATTCGTTATACAAGTAGACTTATCTTGAGAGAAGTAGTATGAACCTGTTGAACAATCTTATTAGCATAGCACTGGCCATTGTGTATTATATTCCACATTCATGGGTAAACATACACCAGTCTTTGTGTGTATTGTTCGTGTAATACTTAGCAGCTTCGCCCCTCGCGGTCCCATCCTTTCTACCCATTGTCCGACATTAAACAGAGGAACAACGGGAGCCATTCCCGAAAATGGTCCAGAGGTCAATCTATCGTCACCTCAGGTCATCTCCACAAAGAACTACATCTTGTTTGTGTCACGCTAACCGATGTTTTACTCTAAACTACTACAGTCAACCCGTTTGTTTTCAATAGTTATAGTCCACAATGGTTTAAAATCTTCCAACAATACAATATCACAATACAGACATTGTTCTTATGATACCTAGCTACCGTTTTACCAGTTCTATCTCATAAGAATTATCGATTTCATTGTGTTCAAAATTTATGACATATTAAGACTCCTGTTTCTATACATTTAAATAAATATAACCATGGGAACTCAGATTTGACTTCACCGGTTACGAAAATTTGTTTGATCGAATTATTTGCTTTAAGAAAATATTTTCATAATAAAGTGAAAGTATAAATTTTAATGTAAACGATATGAATGAAGAGTGAGTCAACAGTAATGCTCGCAATTTGTACGTTCTTCGAAACAGCCTTTTGTTACGGGCCGCGGAATTTATTTATGGTTGACATAAGCTGATGCGGTCGCTAGCTCTCTTGATGGACCTGCAAATAACGAGACGCATATTGCACCTAACAATACTAGCATAACACCAATTTGAAACACATCAAAAGATTTGTACTAAATCAATATAAACTGGCACGTAAAAAGGAATTTTTTATAGAAAAAATGTCTGGGGACAAATCATAAAGTTAGTGTATGCCAGTAGCCAGTTCAAAATCTACGTATAAATCTCAAGTAGTTGATAATGTCGGCGCTTTGATCGTGTGTTACCCCAAAACACTTTGATCCCGCCGCCCACCCGGTGTTCTTTATTAACCATTCATTAAGGGTTTTTCGTTAACAGTTTGAGTTTACTCAGCCAGTGATCGTCTAAGTAATCCTGGTTCCTCAATGTTTTATTTAACGTACATTACATTACATTTTCATTTCAATTATTGGATCGTCTCCCGTTTTAATAAATAAGCGATTAAACCTCTCCCAGCATACCGCGGCTATATTGGTTATAAATTAACATAATAACAATAAAATTAAATCTTTTTAATACGTTTAAGTAGATTTGTGATCATAGAAATATTTCCTCTTATACGTAATAGCTATATCTGTATTTACACCTGCTCATATCCATCTATAAGAGCATTGAACCTATGGGATACAATTAATTAATCTATCCCGTGTAATTAATGATTAAAATTTTCAAATAAATTGAAGTACTACATTAAAAATGAAGGTTTCCAAAATCCTCTTCAATTATTGTATGAAATCGTATGTATTAAAAGTAATAGTCAATAATGATCGTGCAACACATTATACTACCCAGCAACAACACATTACAAGTCTCAATTCACTACCATCAACACTTTGATACGCAACAATGGCTTTCTTCTCACTTACTTTCACAATTGCGTGCTTAGTTTCTATGTAGTTTCTATGCCGCTTATCTATTAATATTAATATACATTTTGTGTAACCTGTTCCAATCCATCAAACTATGTATGTGACTGTATATTTTCCGCTGTTATTTATTTGCCAGCTCTCGTTTTCAAGGTATTTGCCAAGAGCACGCTCGTAACTAGCCATATCACACTTTGTAATACAAGTTTGTGGAACAAATACTGATGTGTGGAACACGTACGACTGTGTCCCGTTGTAAAAAAAAATGCATTCCAGCAAAAACACTAATATATATCAAGTTGAATTCAGTTCGAAACAGCCAATTTACGACATCCTGTTTAAGAGATCAAATCTGAATAATTGCAGGACCCGAGACAGGCTTCTAGACCCGTCTGACTTACCTGTCTCATAGCGATCCGATGGAATTAGTTTAGTCTATTTAATGATTGCTAATATTATTATAGACATTTACTTTGATCAAAAATATTTACTAAATGTAAAACTGAATTCTCTGCTTCAATATATTTTGGCGGACTTAGTAGTATAATAGAATGTATAAATAATTTAATATCATCAATAATCAAAGTACATAAGCGGTTGACACGACTCACACAATAAAAAAGACAATTCAAATAAACCACATCAGATAATATTGAACAAATGTTAAAACCAGTAGCCGCTATAATATATACACACTGCACATACGGACGGCTTCTTGCTCTTTTTACAACCCGTCCACTTGTGCTAGATGACTCGTTTAGGATCAGAAGAAAAAATAGATGTCGTTTAGTAGCGTTTGTATACCATTACACTAACAGCCGACTCATTATATACAAGAGATATAGGCGATGTACGTTTTGCAAGGCTTACGGTCACGTAACTCAGGCGGGTAGGCGTTTTGACATCGCCTTTCACTTGACCCACTTATTTGGGAACTGGTTCGTGATCACAATGCAAGTAAGTAAAGTAGCATTCCCGTTTCGCTATCTAGACGACATTCTGTACAAAACAAACAGGATATAGTAAATACTAAATAGTATACATGATGTTCATTTAATTAAGCGAACACATAATTGTATGTACATATTGAACGTAACCCTGGAGCACAATCAACATAATAAATGTCAGTATGTGCTAGTGGATGGTCGAGCAACCTGTTTTGGTCTGTCACCGCCTACGTCCAACAAATCCGCGTCCATTTCTTAATCCCCCTCCTCCCGCTGATACAATATATACAACACGCACGACGTGTTGCGAGCAGCGACTCGTCCGATCAAGTTTAGACTTGTTCGGAAGACGTACGTCATTAAACCAGTTAAGGAAGACACTTCGTTACTAATCAAATTGGCCAGGTTCCTATTATATTTTTAAAATGTGTGAGTATATCGCAGTATCCGTGGGTGTCGTCTACCGTTTTTCCTCGTAATTTTCATTTACACTACACTATACTGTCGACGTACGTTTTTTTATTCTTGAATGACTCCGCTTCGTGTATTTCGATTATAAAACTTTGCATCAGCTACAATAAAATTCTAATTCATCGTTGGAATATCCCCAAGTTCATTTGGCTGGCTGAAATAGATGCGTTACGTAATACATACATCACGTCTTATGTAAACGTTTACTGACAGCGTTTAACTAAACAATTTCACTGTCAAAAATATAGTTTTATTTATTGTGATTCACGTACATTTAATACTAAAATATCTCTACATAGTTTATAAAGGATGCAAGTCGCGGTGTGTCGGAGGATGCATGCGCGTGCGCAGCATTCGATACACTTTTACATGAAGCTGAGTTTCACTGTCGGGCCCGGAGCGGGTTGATGTGTGGATGTTATTACTCAATCAACAATATACAGCGTTAACACGCGCTGTACATATAAATAAACCGGTGACAAGACTTGAGCATATTCAGGTCGGCTTAAAATACAACGAACGACGACACGCAGAGTACTGTACCAAGATATATACTTCCATACAATACGGTCATGTCATAAATACATTAATTTACACGAAATATCCCTTTTAGATTATTCAATTTGATTTAATATTAAAAGAATCCCCACTTTCATGTCCAATACTAACGTTAGTTAAACATTAGTGTGATAAGGAACTGATAATATTCACGATACCGAGCCTCAATAGAGCCGGGGCCACGCGCTGTACACAAGGCCATTTTGTTTACGCACTGATATATGTATAGCTATAGTACGACAGAAATAAAAATACAACGCGCACTACAGAACTAGACTGAGGAGACGAATATTACACGCGGCAGGGTTATACCTATTGGATGGCGCGAAATAGTTCATTGAAAGGTTGGCGGGAAAATAATATGTAGAATACGGATAATGAAATACTATACAAGTATTATATACAATAGATAAGGAGTCTAGTGAGGTATATTAAAATATATGTAAGAGTTTATATGTGTTTGTTACGTAGAGGTTAGTATTGGCGGGAACGGACCGCGTGCTCAGCGACCTTGAAGGCGTGACGTAACTGACATAGTTCCTACACGAACATGCTCTCAGGACAACACGAAAACAGGCAGAGTAGAGAAATATTGACATAACTGGTTTACATAGAACGACCCTCGCTCAAGGACACGAGAGATATATAACATATACGAACAGATTAGAATTTAGATGTATCGAAATAAAATACTCGCATATAAATTAGTGTATTAATACAAAATATATGTATAAGAGATATAATCAGACCGTCCCATGAACTTTGACTGGCGACGTGAAAAACAATCTGGGAATACACGTTCAGTCATCTATTATGATACAGATTAAACCGTAGTAAAAAGATCGTTAAAATTTTTATAGCGAACTAACATTTTTTTTGTACCTAACAAGTAATGCTTTAAAGGGCGTCGCCTTCGACATTTATTTTTATGAAAATTCCGGGGCATTAAGTGCTTTAGAGTTTTAACGTCCTGATCCCTGCGGAAGGATCGTAAAAACGTCAACTACGACTCGAGGGTCCGCGGCCCTGACTAATATTTGGGATCGTAAACATTTTACCAAATTACTCGCTGCAGCCACGCCTCGCGCACTTTACGAGCGTCGACTGCATACGTAATGCACATACAACAATATAACATTTACATACGACTATATTATATAAGATTATCTCAAGCAATATTAATGTTAAATATAATAATTTCCAGATTTTCTCAAGCCAAGGAAACGTCTGCCGAGCAACAAGAAGTCTCCCGCACACAAACATAAACACGAGTGTGGGCATGGAGCTCACCTTCGTCCACCAAAGGTAGCGAGACTCACACAGACACACTTCAAACGGAACAGTTAGAGATGATCAGCTGGCCAGCGGACCACGGCAGGTCGGAGTTAACATTAATTTATTTAAGTATCGGAGAACAATATAATACTGTTAAGTAGTCCTTAAGGTTTGGGGGCGCGTGACGTCATCACACGACACATCACACCCGCCCGCTATATTTATAATGTGACAATTAATTGTAAGCTTATTATGATCTCTTTGACAAGTAAACTAAGTTATATTAGATGTAGTGTAGTAGTGTAATGTAGTGTAGTGTAGTGTAGCTGTAAGTAGGATCAGTACTGATGTAGGGGTCTGAATAACTTGAAAGTTCATACGACACATGCAAATTAGATTTCCAAAGCGCTCGTATGAGATTTCGACTTATTGGATCACGATATTTGTTAGTTGGGACGATGACAAGTACAAATTACCTACTACCCTCTGTTGAAGTGACTTACACTAAACTATATGTATTGTAAATGACAGAACTATTCACACTCCAGACTGGACTATACTAGACTATGAATTATATGTGTGGTCTCTTAAACAAACACACACACACACACATCCACAACAGCTGGTTTTTGTTTGTGAGATTACACCGTGTTATATATACATACATTTATATATAATTGTTTTAATACACGCGGCCGTTGTTCACTATGAGATTGTATTGTTTATAACGTAGGTAACTCTAACATTAATATATTGTAATGTCTGTAACACCTGTGATGTATTAAATATGATCTCAACAATATTATTATACTTTGCTATTGTCGTTTATGTGTCTAATATAAGCAACGGCTGGAGCTATTACGGAATGAGAGATAATTAATACATCAAATTATTATTTTATATTATTATTATTATTTTTTTTGTTAATATATTACGTTAATGTATCCGTCCGTCCCGACACTGTATATAATGTGCGCACTCGTGTATTTATTACCGGGACGGAGAATTGAAAGCTCCAGAGGCAATCCTGTTCACACTTAGTCTTAAAGTATAATGAATGGCTCGTCCGACAGTCGTGTACGGTCAGACGAGCCTACGGACAGTAAGGATCATGTAAATGTAAATAGTTGACCGATATATATTGTAATAATGTTCAGTAGTGTATTGAGTTCAACATCATGATATTGTGTTATGTATAAAACTTAATATTAGTATAAAACAAAGCTTACATACGGTATGTGTTGGTTTTATTTCACCCACAAACTACACATTTATATAATATAACTACTAGAAGATCCAGCGAACTTCATATCGCCCTATAATCAAGGAATATCTGTTACGTTTTTTAATTTATATTTTTGGAGTTTACCTATTAAAGCCATAAATCTCCGTGTTTTGAAGTGCGACAGAATGATTGACATATTAGTTAGTTGTCAAATCTAATGTAAAAAAAACTTTTGTATCAACAATTATTAATAAATTAAAAATTAATTAAAAAAACATTGTCCAGCCGACAAAATTGTGAATCTAAAGTCTTAACCTTTCCCAGATCCCCCTGAATACACCCAAAAATTTCATCAAAATCGGTCCAGTCGTTTGAGAAAAATTCAGTGACATACACACTCACAGAAGAATTATATATATAACTATAAAGAACTGGGTTCAAAATGAAAACATAGTTGTGATGCTCGTATGAAAATGTTTATTGATATCACAATCAAGACTACGTCCACCCTCAGGCAGACTACATACAGTTACCGGGTAGAGAGAAGCGCGCCGTGCCGCTACAGTACATACATACATACATACATACAGCTAATTAAAACACTTACAAAACATTACTAACAGTCAAGACTGCGCTGCCAGCTACACTCCCGCTGACTGTACACAAGAGACGGAAAATAACGAGTGCTCCACGTAAGAAGCTTCGGAACAGATAGATGCAAAACATAAATTATTGTCCAAAAAACATTCAGATAAAAGACGTGGTGAGATAAAAATAGAATCCGCTGACCGGCGAGAAACATCGTCACTAAATATTTACAATTACATTTATTAGAGTATTACACTTAGGCACATCAATTGTTAGAAAATTACGATATAATTCGACAAAGAGACCACACCGGCAGCCGGCGGACCGCGAACTCGTAGTAAACATATTAAAATACGACATACAGTGAGTGAAACAGTTACAGTTATTAGTCGACTTCTTTGTCTTATATAATACTATGTATATAAGAAAAGAGCTTCAAGCGTCGCGGACCGGGGACCAATGATAAATTTGTACTTTAAACATCCCGCCTCCGCGACCGTGCGACCGTAGCTAGTGAGTACATTTAAAATATTTGTGTATCGAGATATATCAATTACCCTCTAATTTGGTCGAAGACCTACAGTTACTGGAACTATCCTAGAGTTACGCGCGTACCCACACGCCCTAACGTTAGACATCGACAGACAAATATTACTTGGACGCTATACGTTATATAAAAGACAGCAAATATCGAATAATATGGACATTCAAAATACGATTTACATAGAAATAAATTATAGTAGTCGTACAACTACAACTAGAACCGGCGTACGACTAGTGTCCGTATAAAGATATAGTTATAGAAGCGGCGACCGATCCCAACAAACGAAACATTATACAAGTCGTCGCTTCACTTATCATTAGGATCTATTGAACCAAGTAATATAAGGTGTGAACCGTGAACTACATCCATAGCGTTATAAACCTTTTACAAGTCAACTAATATAAAGCCGTCTACACAGAACACTACATCCCTGATACTTCATGAGTCATGACCCCACCTTCACCCACTACAGCCCTAAACCAACTATAAGCTCTATATAAATATAATAAAATACTTAAACACCTATTGAATATTAAAATCGGTTGGTGTCGAAATATGAGTTACGATAAAAATTATATACTTCATAGTAAATAGAGCGGCCCAGCTGTATGCGAGCATGTCGTGAGGCACACGAACACTGGACGGCAAAACATTATGGAGAACAGATAGTGAAGCTTGGAACGGCGGGGAGAGTCGGGGGAAATGTATAGTGTTAACATGACAGGGCGACGCGCGGTACGGAAACAATATAAGAACAACTGGGCCGCGCCGTAATCTAAAACATTACATCTAGAGACAAGATCACCTCCCTTTATATAGACAGTGTAAAAATAATGTTTATAAACATTGGCCTATGAGATAATCATTACAATTCATTGTACTTCATCTAGTTGAAAGCTTAACTATATTATCACACGTACCTATCCGGTAGATATAGAAAGATTTATAAAAGTTATATATACTATGATACAGCTAGGACAGAGCGCGACCAACACGTACAGACGTGAGATCAGACTTGTATACGAAACGTTAAGTGAAAAAAATTTAAAAGATTTATCGTTAAAACGTCAAACGGACCGTCAGATAGTTAACGGCGACTAAACGAATATTCAAAGTGCACGTATTAAAAGTAGATTTCGTATAACTAGTTCTCCTAGAAGCATCTAAGCACATAGAGTAACATTCAGTCGATATAAAGATAAGAGACGAGAGTTATTAGACACGTTTCATAAAGACTAACAACACCACAATAATATGTCTAATTTACTAAAATAAAATTGATTTTTTTAATGTTCTTCGCTACATATATTACTCTATTAATATCCTACTATATTCGATGCTATTACAAAACATCTATTTAATACAGCCGCGATTTGAACTGTTCCGTTCTTAAAGACTTTAAACAGTAAACGAGGTCAGTTTGGAAACGATACAATATGACATCACCCTAACTCCTAAGACATCGCGTGTAATGATCGACCGCATTTATACCGATTACTGTCCGATGTTCGGATCATAGAATGATGTCGCTACTCGGAGACTACACTACCTGAACTATCCGGCTAAGAAGGGGCGAACGAAACTCTACTGAGAGGCAAATTATAACAATGATTATTGTCTGACACTGGGTTATTGTCGAGACAGCAGCTCAGGCTTCGCTCCGGCCGAGCGACCTTAGCCTTATAACAATGTAGTAAGGTACAGAATGCGGCGCGCGACTACGGACTGTGGTTCATACACGGAACGAGGCGATGAGGCGACCTAACATTATATATACTGAACATTTAATATGATTCCTCTTAATATAAAACATAAGAACCACAGCGACGGGATCCGGTACAAAATAAAAACATAAGGAAAAAAGGAGAACAAAATAAAAGTAAAATAAAAAGGGGTATCAGGATGTTTATTTACAACTCTCTCATAATAACTATGTGATTATCAATGAAGAAAAAATAAAATAAAACTTAAGCAACACGAGTGCTATCCCCTGATCACCAAAACTTGAATATTGTTAATGGTTCCGCTCACAGCGAGCGCCTACACTAAGTTAAAACAAAACATACCCGTGACGGGTGGCGGGCACCGTCACATACAGTAGATACATGTGCGTACGGGGCGTGCGACTTACAGACGGTACATAGGAAACGATAACATAATCATTACACTAACACATGTTGTATTTGTACATTGAATCGGTTATAACATAATTATTGTCATTGAAGGGGCTCACTCAGACATATATATTACACACGCAGCGGGTGTAGTACAGCTGATTACAATTTATATAAGACACGATCATAAACAAATTTATTGCAACGACCCAAATTTACATCGATTTAGAACGATTGAACAGATCACAGAATCTATGGACAGACTTTATATTATGACCGACCGACATGTTGGACATCGTGACGCGTGAACCGAAATATAAACATTACAATACTTACAATAATAATAATAAGGGAATAATAAACACGAAACAATCGGAAGCGGGACGACTAACACTACACATAATACATTATACGTTAACATACCATTGTTAATACACTTACATTAAAACCCCAAAAAAAATCCGAAAAATAAACATCTTAAAAATAATGAAATAATTAATTAATAAAAATATCTCAAGGATCCAGCATCAAGAAACGTTACAGTTACAGTGAGACAGAACAGTCACTTGGAAAATAAAAATACAATTAGAAGTAAAACGAATCAGTGAAATAAAAGGTTAAGAAGTGACGTCATAGGGACGAATGTCATGAGACACATCTGGATATAATAATAACTAGAATAATTACTGTTTCATATATAAGTTATATTGAACATGTAAGTATTTTTTGTTACTCCTTGCCTTTCTATATACAGATGTATCTCATGACAAGTCCGAGCATCGCCCGGAGCGGGCCTTCGAGTGCGTTTATTCATTTAAATAATTAATCAAACATTAAAATTGTCCGTATTCAAGAGCTTGTTCCGCGCGATGCTCGGCTAGACGTGTACCGTCAAATAATAATCCACTAAGCAATAAACTAAACTATTATTGTCAGGCAGCAAAGCTACTGTACTATAAATAAAATATAATAGTTGTCGTCATAAAAACAAAAAAAAATATCGCGTTCATTTGATATTTACCGTGACAGGTAAGTTAATCAATCATTAGTCCTCGATAAAAACGAAAGGCTTACAATCATACGAGTTAAAGAAATACTTAAAATAATAAACAAAATCAAATCGAAAAAATCCTTCGACGGATCCTAGCTCAAACAAATCACTTGTACACTTACTAAACTTATATGTACAGAACTAATTACTGACAGTAATACAGTTAACACGATGCGTCGCGGCGAAGGAAACGAGCGTGACCGACTAACGCTAAACTAAATTAAATCGCACAATAATTGCATTAAAACATTCGTTAAAAATAACAATTCAATTATCTAAGGTGAATATGAGTTACATCGTCTCTATAACCTATTAGTGTTCTTTATAATCTGTACTAAATATCTTATAACACTCTTAATGAACATATATTTTTTTTATTATTTCCTTTAATTCCTCCTCTACGCTAACAGTAAATACGATTAAATAATATTCAATATAAACACAGCATATTCGTTAATGTTCATCTACGCTACATGATATGGAACGTAACATACAAATAAATGTTCACGAAGCAGAGTTCGATCGCTAGTGTTGAATCCAAACCAATTAATTGACAACCTCGTAACTAAACCCTCCGTACCGCTCGGTGCGGGCGGTACTAACTCTAAGTCTACATAAAATATTAGTAAATGCAAACTACTCGCTTCTCAACAGCAAAATCATCTTAAAATCTATACAAATCCACAAATCTAAACAAATCATCGTTCACTAGTGTAGAGGCCACTCTCGGTGAGTGTGTGCGTTGCCTTAGTCCGTGTACCACAGATGCTGCTGAGGATGTTGCGGCACCAGGTACGTGGGGGAGTACGGCTGTAGGTAGCCGGGGAGACGCGCGCCGCTGCCGTGGTGGGCGGGAGGAGGACCGCCCACGGCGCCCACGCCGCCCACACCGCCCACGCCGCTCACACCGCCACTGGAATTTATATAGACTCATTGAAAATACGTCTAATTTACATAAGTCTTTCACATCGCCACTGACATTTATATAGACTCATTGATAATACGTCTAATTCGCATTAGAATTTCACAGCCACACTTATGGATTAAAGATATTGAACTTCTTTGCAATCTGTTAATATTAAAATTTTCCTTATCAATTATTATCAATTAAATATGAGTCGCCATTTTTATACCCACAATTGTTTTAATTCAGAATATTAAATTTTCTTTGACAACTATAGACAAAAATTTACTTTTCTCTTCTTACTTATATTTACTTACACTTCTAATGATAATCATTATTACGATAACTATCTGTTACCTGCAACTCCGTCCGTCCGTTTTTAAGATATTAAAATAGTTTGTGTAAAAACACATCACAGAATACGCAATGCTTATAATACCCTTTGCTTTCAATACTTAAATATCCTTTATTTAAACACTACATAATACAGGACCAATAAATAAAACATCATTGTATTCTATTCAGTAGTTTTCGAGATCTCTAACAATATATAATATTAGGTAGGGTGTCTTCAGGCAAGAGTTAATGAACCATTAGTGATTGAATTCAACATATTATACAGATTCTTATCCAAATAAAATCATATTGAATCGTACACAGATCATCAACACCCTGTATATATGAACAGATTGTGTATATATGTCACCGGAAAATAACAAGACTCGTAAGTTGATCAATTTTCTAGGTAGTTGATCAACTCTCGGAAAATAATGAACGGCAGTTGAAATGTACTATTTAACGCATTGAATTTTAGGTAATTGGTCAACTTACGGTACCTAGCCGTAATTTAATAATTAACTATGTGCTACAAGTAAAATCATCCACGAATGGGCCAATCGTTGAACAGTGTAGTATTTGACGTACACTATTATCCGTCACTTAATAAAATACCTAACCTAACCAATCAACGTACACCTTGCCTTTGTCGGATGATTTAACGGCAAGACGCCGTAAATTAATCAACTTATACTCACGTGTGATAGTGGTATGTGGGCACATATAGCGGGGGCGCCAGGTAGCCGGGGGACACTCCGCCCGGGGACAACACTCCGCCGCCCACGCCCACGCCAGCGCCAACGCCCACGCCGACACCACTGCCCACACTGCTCCTGACAAATACAACAATTAAGGTGTTGCCAAAGTTTACTTTATCTTAACAACTATTATTTTTCAATATTTATCTTTGTTAAATTTAATTTATTTGAAATGTATGTCACTTTTTGCTATTAGATGAAAACAATTCAAGAGAAGCCGAGTTTACAGAAATAACTTTCATAATTGTATAACGATCCATAGTAATCTCTTGGTATACAAAGCTTCATTAAATGTGTCAATAGTTAATTTCAACAATCGATGTTATATGTATATGAGAGTAGTTCAGTTACTAACTTATAGTGTGGATGTGGGTGATGGTGCCAGGCGTGTGCGTGTTTGTGAGCGGCGGGAGGGCCCACGTTCACGCTCATGCCCACGCCGCCCACGCCCACGCCGCTCACCGCCGTCACCCCGCTCACGCCGCTCACGGCCGCGCTCACGGGCAAGTACTCGCGACAACCTCCGCTCTGAAACAGATATATACATATTTATTTACCTGCACTTGTAAAATGAATTAAAAATATGTTTCATTTAATATAATATGTATATATTGTGATACTCACGCTGTCCCTCTTATTGTGTTGTGTCGGCACGTATTGGTTACACTGGTAGTCGCTCGGCCGGACGCTCGAGCCGCTCTGTTGCTGTAAGGACAATGTAACAGTCAATAAACATAACATCAAAACAATATATACTAATAACAATATATTATGTATTATCCCCGAGGTTGATTTATTATATTACAATTTGATTGAAATTCATTTAAAAAACAGGGTTCGATGAACATTATTAGAATTAGCCTTAACAGCTTATATATTATTGGATATACCGTTTATTTTTCATAAACACTACATATTCTCAACGTTTCGGTTACTTTTCAGCAACCGTGATCATGGGCAGACGAGATGTGAATAAATTTCACATCTCTTCACATAAAGGCACGTAGTATAATCCGAAATATATTACTTTCATTTAAATTGGGTTTTTGAAAAAAAAAAAGTATTGATTTTTTTTATGTATTTTAAAACTTTATTATTAATTATATTGGATTTTTAATGCAAAAAACTTGAAATATATTTTTTAAATTAATTATAAACAATTAAAAATTGATAAAATTCAAAAATATATCACGTGACTGTAAACGCGCCATGATTGGTCAGCATACTTGTGACGTCATAATGTTAAAGCAATTTCATAATAGTACAGTGTTTATGGCTATTATCTTTAACTTTAAAAATATCTCAAATTTATTAGTGAAAAACGATTTGAAAAGTTTATTTCGACTATGTGTGATAAAGGATTTATAAAAGCAAAATCGGATAATATTCCTGATGTTAATATATTTTTATGATAACTAATTTTTTAAAAAGTGCGGTTTAATTTTGCTGAAGTTCGAGGTGCTAAGACATCAAGGTAAGTCTGTCAAAAAATACTATTCTAAATGAAAATTAGTATTTATTCTCTATTAAATATAATTAATAATTATTTCATTAAATCATTATTAATAAAATGTTATTATAACATTATAAAAAAACCAAAATAACATATATGTACTTTAAAAATTTAAATGTAGTCTGATACAGAACCTAGAATGTTATAAAATTATGAAAATATCTATTAATTGAAGTCCAATTATTAGACAAACATATATATAGATTTACTATTTAATCGCTTTGAATTATCAATTAAAATTTTTTAATGCTACGATTCTAAAGGTTATGATTTGGAGCCCAGGTAAAAAAATTAATTATTGAACTATACTTATTCGATTTATACACTTAGATAAATAATAATTAATAACAATACTATTATGAAAACTTACAACGAAATGATCTTCACAACAAAAAAAAAATGATTTTGTTTTTGAATAATCTCGATGCACTGCTTGAAACCATTTCTTTCGACGTTTTTCGTCTTGTGGAACATTTAAAAACATTTTTTCAGGAGTTGTTTTTGTAGTCTTTGTACATAATGGTACAAAACTTTTGATTATTTAACAATGCCAACAGAATTTACTAGATAAAAACTCAAAACACTGTACTAATTATTATATCTCTGTATGCTACAATGAGCAAAAACTAACATTGTGACGTCACACGCGCTCGGGTTTATTCACGAGCTGTCGGCTTGTCTTCGGTACTGAATTTAAAATTTAATTTTTATTTTGAAATAACTTTTTAAATATTGCAAAAAAAAAATAAAATAAAAATAGTTTTGTTATTAAACTTATATATGATCTTTCCATTTATCACAAAAAAAAAAATAATTCAAAAACCCAATTCTTAGATCTCAATATGTAAAAAACCAGCTTATATATTACTTTACACATGTAGTCGTTGAAAATGTAAGCCAAGACAGACAGATAATGTAAATGTCGTCACAAATCCCTACTAATATTATAAATGCGAAAGTAACTCTGTCTATCTGTCTGTCTGTTACGCTTTCACACCTAAACCACTGAAATGATTTTAATGAAATTTCGTACAGACAGAGTTGAACTTGAGAAAGAACATAGGATAGTTTTTATCCCAGACTTTTGAAAGGTTCTCTAGGAAACGCGATATAATCGAACTCTACGCGGGCGGAGCTCCTGGCGGAAAGCTAGTATATAATTTATGCTTGTGTCTATAATATGAGTATATCTATAATTTCCCTGTCTGTCTGTATATACTAGGTATATCTGTTCCCTCACGTGGTAGTGTTGTATGTCGTGATGTTCCATCTTCGCCTGTTCCTGTTGCGCCAGAGCCAACAGTCGTTTCTTCTGGCTCTGCGGCGTCACCTGCGGCCCGGCCGGCTGGCGGGGCTGTTGTGGCTGTTGTTGTTGCTGCTGAGGCTGTTGCTGTTGTTGCTGTTGCGTCTGTTGTTGAGGTTGCTGCGGCTGCTGTAATGATACACGTTATATATTATGTATAGAGCATGTAATCTTCTTAAAAATATTTTATTAACTAAATGGCCCGGCGAATTTCGTATCGCCCTATAATCAAGTAATATCTGTTACGTTTTTTTAATAAATAAATTTAGGTTATATCTCAGCCTCAGAAACACGTGGTTATGCTGTAATTAAATAGTCACTCATATATGACGTTTGTATTTTTAACATAACGCCATCTATTGAATACTTAAATCAGTAAACAGATAATTGTAATAATGACAAATAATTTTCTTTAATAGACAAATAATTTGTAATAAAATAATATTGTGACTATAAATTGAGATGTTAGCTATACTATCTTTCAAGTTGGATCAAAATGCACGCGGAATGCAAATCAAATTTAAAATCGGTTTAGTAGTTTAGGAGTCCATCGCGGATAAACACGTGACACGAAATTTTTATATACAACGTGTAACGTAATTAACGCACACCCTCAAATACCCCAATGCGTATATAATGATATAAACGCAATGCATACACCAAATATTATTTATATGTGCGTTTGAATTTTTTATTTGTGAAATTAGTTATCCCAATTTCGTGTAAATAATATGGTCCGCTATTCAGCGACACTCTGTACTCCCCGCGCCCGCGCCCCTCTCTCCGAGTGCCGTCCGACAATAATAAGAAGTAGGTAACAATAAGTACACGAAATAACTACATACATTATGATTTTTCTTTCCATCACACTTTTCAAGCTTTAGATTGTTGACATTGAATTTTCTTTTTAATGTGAAGCCAATATTTTATAATTACTGATTTGTTAAATTAAATTTGTAAATAAGAATTATTAAACAGCTGATAACGCGTGATTTGAATAGACACCACAATACCTAAGACAAAGTTAAACACAGTCGGCCTGTTTAAATGGTGTGTATCAAAATATTTACAATAATTTAAAGATCATAAACAAACTTACAGTTTAATTTGCACTCGCACAGCGTTGTCGTTTTAAAACATTTTCAAAATGTCCACCGCCTTGTTCAATGCACTTTAATGACCGTTTTCGCAATTGTGGTTTTATTTTAGATAATACTGCAATGTCACTTTTCACTTTTACAGAAGCGGTTATTATCTTATTTTTTACTTTTACTTGTTATCTCTGTGTTATAAACTAGCGATTTAATTCGCCCCCACAAAAAAAGTCGAGTCGCGTTAAATCAGCTGATCTAGGAGGTCAATGGACACGTGCGTAGGTACTTGATGTATTGAATGTTAGTGTACCGAAACGACACAGCGAAATGCGCGACTAAGATTTTATTTGCACTTTACACTTGACCTCTTTTCGATAAGGTGGACGCGGCGTAACTAACCCAAAACACATTTTGTTGACTTCGATGTTTAGTTATTATTACTCTGATTCCCGGAATTATGCCTGCCGTCTCGCTCTATTGTAATGTTATTAAGCCGAAGAAAGAAGGAGAAAGTAATAATTTTTGTATTACGCGGCTTTCTTTTATGCACTGTAGTGACCTTGCTGTGTGCCGGTTGTCGCTATGGTGTTGCGTGCGTAGTTATTATTAAATACTATTTTAGCCTTGAAATAAGTATCAGTTTTCTTTAATTGAATGATGATTACTAATTAAATATTTCATTTTAAAAATCTTAATACCCTGACTTACGATCCATTTTCGTTTCTATGAAGTGTTTAGATAACTGTGTGTAGGGTGACTATAATTTACTTAGTTCTATCTAAATTTGAGAAAAAAAATTACCTACATAAAAAACTATCAAAATCGATCCAGTATCCGATTCTGATCAAACTACTTTCAGAGTGTGCGTTAATTATGTTACACGTTGTATATAATTATTTATGATCGTTATCATTTTATACTGTATATATACGTACCGTGTGGTGATGGCATGATTGGTGCGCGTGATGCGGCTCGTGTTTCACGTGTCGCTCGTCCCGCGGGCTGCGCGCGTTACAGATCACGCTGGCAGGAGGGGGCGCCACCATCGACGGGGGATTCACGACTAGAAGGGGAAAAAAATAAATAATATAACTATCATTGAAACAAACTAAATTACGACTAGAGGGGGAAAAAAGAAATAATAACTACAATTGGAACTAATCAACTAAATTAACAGATGACTGTAAGTATTAAGACTATATCGTTTAGGATAGTGCTATCCACGTAACTACCATTGGAACTAATAAACTAAATACAATAATACTCCCGCTTTACGCGAAGATACGTTCCGAAAAGATCGCGTTAATTAAAATTCGTGTATATCGAGGTTAAACATAGTCAAAATATAATACAAAAAAAAATATGGACAATTTTAATCAATCACTTTAATTCTAAGAACAATATGCAATACATACTTGTATTTTTAAGGAAAAATACAAGTATTGTCTTTTGGGTAGTGTTTTGTTTACATTTTTATAGAATACGTTCATAACACTCAACACTATTTTTAATTTTTTGAAACACGGTCATCATTATTATCTATACTCTGCAATATGTTCAAACTTGAATTAATTCCTGAAATCATTCCTGAAATCATAATTATCAGAATTAACAGAATATTTCACACATTCCGTCTTTAGAATACCGTCGCATGGAGAGAGATCAATTGTTTTTATTTAAGATACTTCAAAACTATATAGATTCACCCTTTTTGTTACAAAATATTTGCTTTAGATGTCCTAAAATTAATACACGTCATCAGTCCCTGTTTCATTTACCTTTAACAAATACTAAATATGCTCAAAATGCTTTTATTTTCCGTGCCTGTCACAAAATATAACAAATGTTTTTCAAATATAGATTTAACAATGTGCACAAAAAATAATATAAGGAAAGAAATTAGTAAAGCTTGTAATTCGTAATTAATTTATTTCAAAATTATTATTATTATTATTATTGTTTTATGCTCCAAATGAAATTGTAATCGGTGGAAGCTTTTTGGTTTGTGTACTTTTATATGTATTATTTTGATTTTTTTAATACTGTTTGTTTCCCAAAAAAAAAAAAATTGAGTTATAGTGAACCCGCGTATGACAGGGTCGTGCTATGCGGGGTATTACTGTAAACAGATGCCTGTAAGTGTATGAAAACGGAAATGTTTTTTTTGTTTTTACTTTGGTTGATACTGTCATTGGTGGCCACAAGGGAGACAGCTGAAAATCAGCAGAGGGATAAAAAACCCTCCTAGCCTGAGCTGTCTCCTTTTAACTGCACAGTGTTATATCAATTATATTCATTCTCTTTATTTTTGTAATATTGTTTTTATATCCTTTTTTGTATAATTTTGTTTTTTTTCTTTCTTTGTATGTCAATAAATGTTTTTTCTTTCTAAGTCTATATATATTGTGTGTGTCTGTACCTGCCCCCCTGTCGTGTCGTGAGTCATCATCGTCACTATCAGAGATGGTGATGACGGACACGGCGGGTGACGGCGTGTCTCTGATAGTGATGGTGTGCGCGCCGCCCGCCTCCCACTGGTTACAACGAACACTGGAACGTACACAGAATAATGTTAGAAACAACTTATATAATAAAAATATACTCATGTATTGTAAAATGATATTAATAAATAAATATATAGATATATCTCTGCATTAGAAAGGAGAGTATAAGAAATAATGTAGCCATTATACTTAAGATACGAGAGACGATGAAAATAAAGAAAGTAATTCAGTCGATGTGAAATCATAATCCAAAGATTGAGGTGGCGTATTTATTTAAGTTTAGCTTTCCGCTCGCAGCTTCGCCCGCGTCGAGTTCAGTTATATTACGTTTCCAAGAGACCTTTCAAGTCTGGGATAAAAACTATCCTATATTCTTTCTCAAGGCCAACTCTATGTCTGTACCAAATTTCATTAAAATCAGTTCAGTGGTTTAGGCGTGAAAGCGTAACAGACAGACAGACAGAGTTACTTTCGCATTTATAATATTAGTAGGGATGTATGTAGTGTCTCACGTGTTGTCCTGCCTATGCCTGGAGGGCGGAGTGCCTTCCTTCACCCTCTTCTTGACGGGAGACAGCTGCGTTGCCTCTTTCTTACCGCCACCGCTCGCCATACTGTTGGTAACAAACGTTATATTATACAAACTACTTTATTATACAGGGTGACTGGTGAATTACTATCAATATTTAAGGAGAATACTCGGTACATGATTCTCATTCGAATTATGTAAAAAAAATAGGCACTTAATTTTTGACAAAATTTCCGTAATAATAAGTAAAGTGTTGACACGTTCCAAATGTTCAAGTGTGGACGCGTGCGGCGACGTGCTGATACAACACTACGTCACGACACGCGTATGTGTGAGTGTCAGTGTATACCTAATCTGTAGGGTGTTCACACGATGCGTAATTAATTACATAACTTTTGGTTAACTTTACTTAGAAGTTTATTAATATTTATGTTATATTAATTTTTATTTCGTCATATATGATCGTCAAATATCACGTCCTCAAATATCGATAGTAATTCACCAGTCACCCTGTATAAACATTGTTATATTTTTTATTATTCTTTATATCATAAACTTATATAAAAATTTTATGTTGTATTACGACCCCATCAATAAACATAGCATATAATCAATGTATCAGAGATAAAATTAATATAAAACAGAAAAAGTTATCCGGTTATTATTAAAAAGTAAAGTTCTCAGATAATGGACTAATGAAGGACAAACGTTGTAGGGTACGAATATCCGGCACATGTAATATTTTGAAGACCTTATTTCTAGTGATGTATGTTTTAAAATAAGACCCTGGCTAAAGCTGGGAAATTGCCAGGTAGAAGAAGAAGAAAAGTATGTTTGAAAATAAAAAATTGTAATATATATGTATATTAGATCGACTAGGAAGTTATTATTGTTATAATGTATGCACCTGTATTGAAGCGTTTGGTGCGGCGGCTGGTAGTGAGGCACGCCGCTCGTTTGTTGCTTGGTCGATCTGTAGACAACGGGTTCACTCACTTACTACGACACACATACACACAAACACACACACACACACACACATACATACACATACTCACGACATACAGTTGGGACTTGTTTGTTTCTTTGACATCAACCGAGTCTATTAAACTTACTTACAAAATATTTGTTACTGAGAGCTAATCTGATTTCCCTATTTAATTCATTAGTTATACGTTTCTGTGAGCAATTATTTATCATTGCCTATGGAAGGAACAATATCTGCCCATTTTCATACATTATTTGATGTCTGCTCGTATTATATAAATTGTCGTGTCGTGTTTTATTTATATATGTCTCACCTCTTGTGAGGATGATGATGATGCGGGTGATGATGATGGAAGTCCCACACTTCCGGTTCAGGAAGCGGCGCTGGCTCCACAATGAGCGGTGCGCGCCACTCGCCCACGTCGCCCACGCCTACACCAACGCCCACTCCGCCCACGCCCACGCCGCCCACACCGTGCTGGTGATGGGCCGCCGCAGCCGCAGCCGCCGCTGCAGCCAGCTGTTGGACCTATTCATTATAATGATTTTATTATACATGTTATATATTAATATATTGAAGGTTCTCTATATATAACGCACCTGATAGGCCGGCTGACACAGTATAGATGACACGAACTGATGAGGGAAAGGATCAGGAGCGCGCGTGAACTGTCTGCCTCCGCCTACAGCCACACGACCGCCGCCGTACAACTGGTACTGAAAACATAACAAGTATATTATATTACTGTTATACAGATGCTTACATGTACGACTGGTCCGATTTTTATGAAATTTTTTGTGTATGTTCAAGGGGATCTCGGAATTGTTTAGATTCACAATTTTGTCCGCTTGACATTCTGTCGCACTTCAAAACACGAAGATTTATGGCTTTAATAGGTAAACTCCAAAAATATAAATAAAAAAACGTAACAGATATCTTCTTGATTATAGGGCGATACGAAGTTCGCCGGGTCTTCTAGTATATATACAAGACGTACCAGGTTATCGTATGGAGCAGCCCTGAGTCGTTGCTGGTTGATAGTGAGCGCGAGGTGGTGAGCGGTGGGCGCGGCGGGCGCCACCACACCGCCCACGTACTCGCCACCTACACCGCCCACGCCGCCCACACCGCCCACGCCGCTACCTGAACGACGGCAGACCTACACGCAATATCAATATAGTGATTAATATATTATAAAATAAAAATCAGTGGTGGCCTAGTGGTTAAAAGGCCCGCCTCTCATGTTTGACAGCGCGGGTTCGATCTTGGCAAGTACCAATGTGATTTTTCCGAGTCATATGTACTTTCTAAGAGTATTTAGACATCACTGATTAATGCATTCCCAGAGAGGGTTGATGTCAGGCAGGCGGCCGGTCGTAAAAACAATTAGCCAAAACTATTCACAACATGTAAGGCAGACCCTGGCTAAAGGGAAATTTGCCAGGTAGATAAAGAATGTATTATAAAATAAATTGTGTAATATAGTATGTATGTATCTATGTATGTATGTGTGTATGTATGTTACCTCCATCATCTGTACGGACGCCTTAACATTATTACAGTGTGCATAATCCACTAGGTGTGCGAGTGTCACGAACGCGTGGTTCAAAGCCTCTCCGGGGGTAATGCGGCGCTCCTGAACAATAATAATACATTAGTTTCATATCAAATAAACTCTTTAATATCTCCCAAATCACAGTCACTCACTTGGTCCATAGTAAGCATCCTCTTCAGTAAATCAATGAATTCCCTTCTATCCGCTTTCTCTGCCAAAAGCTGTCCGCCTTCGAGATCCGTCGGAACGTTGACCTTTACAAACATTATACTTTAAATCCTACTAATATTATGATTGCGAAAGTCTGTTAGTGTGTGTATGTTTGTTACTTATTCACGCTCAAACGGCTGAAACGATTTTGATAAAATTTTGTATACACGAAGCTGACGTCCAGGTATGACACATAGGCTACTTTACATCCCGGAAATCCGCGGGTAACACCGCGGGACGCAGCTAGTTATTAATAACGTTTAAACCACATAGTATTATTAGAGGTGTATAGTATTACTAACACTCAGCTTTTAATGTATTTTTAATATGGATGTAATTGGTCTGAAATAAATTATTATTATTATTATTATTACCTGTCCTATATCATCGAGACAGTTGAAGATATACTTCCTAGCCTCCTTACTCTTGATGCCCGTTTCCAGTTCGTGTTCTTCGGGAGTCTTTAGCCTCCAGAACGGATATGTACTGTCCACGTCGCGATAGAAGAACTTGGCTGTCTTTGATGCGCTGGGAATATAATATACATTCACATATAATAAAGAACAAATAATAACTCAAACTTATTAAATTAAATATAAATTTATTAAATTCAATATGTAAGATATTCAGCTAATTGATATTTGTGATTTTAATATTTTCTATGACTTCGTATTGATTGTTTTATATCTAACAAGTAGTATGTAACAAACGTCAGTGACGTCACAATAGGTCCGTAGTCATCCAACTTGATCTGTATGTGTGTGACTACATGGACATATACTAATAGACATGTCTTAGAGATGAGAATTGTGGCACTACGAAAGAAAGAGAGGGAACGAAGTTTCGGTCTATCTTTATCTCTTTCAAATTTATATGCCGTGCTACTTAATTGTAATGAAAACTGAGCGCCTGTATGTGAAGGGTTCTGTTCTTTATGTGAGGTTGTTCGTTACCTGTTCAGCATGTGCTCGGTGGGCAGGCCCTGTGTCTGTGATATGTATCTGATCTGGTCGTACTCGGACGAGCCCGGGTACAGCGGCCAGCCCAGGAACAGCTCGGCGACCACGCAGCCCAGCGACCACATGTCGATGGCCTCGCAAAACGCTAGCCCAAGGATTATCTCGGGGGCCCTGGGAACACACGAACACAAATCTTTATATATATAAATCGTCTATGAGTGTGTATGTCACTGAACTTCTCTCAAACGACTGGACCGAAAAAAATTTGAAATTTTTTGTGTGTGTTCAAGGGGATCTGGGAATGGTTTAGATTCACCAATTTTGTCCGCTGGACAATGTTTTTTTATATAAATTTATAATTTATTTAGTAGTTGTTGATACAAACGTTTTTTTTTTTGACATTATTTTTGACAACTAACTAATATGTCAATCGTTCTGTCGCACTTCAAAACACGAAGATTTATGGCTTTAATAGGTAAACTCCAAAAAAATAAATAAAAAAACATAATAGATATTTCTTGATTATAGGGCGATATGAAGTTCGCCGGGTCTTCTAGTAATATTATATAACATTAATGAGACATTAACCATCTCGTCTGTCCGTGATCACGGTTGCTGAAAAGTAGACGAAACGTCGGGAGTATGTAGTTTATATCAAAAATAAAGTCGCGTAGTAAATCCCTACTAATATTATAAATGCGAAAGTAACTCTGTCTGTCTATCTGTCTGTTACTCTTTCACGCCTAAACCAATCAACTGATTTTAATGAAATTTGGTACAGCCAGAGTTGACCTTGAGAAAAAACATAGCATAGTTTTATCCCAGACTTTTGAAAGGTTCTCTTGGAAACGCGATATAACCGAACTCCACGCGGGCGAAGCCTGGGCGGAAAGCTAGTTAGAAAAGCATAAGTTTAATATGTATGTATCTGTACCTGTAGTATCTGCTCTGCAGGTATGTGTTGCAAACAGCCTTGCTGACGTGCGAGGCGCTGCCGAAGTCGATCACCTTCACTCTGTACGGCTGGCGGGCCGGCTCCACCAACATTATGTTCTCAGGCTTCAGATCGGCGTGGATCAGACCGAGTTGCTGAAAAACAACATCACACAACAATTAAAACCGATTGATGTTACAAACGACCGGCTTTTTAAAGAATATACAGTAATACCTCGCTTTACAAGAGGGATACGATCCGAAGAAAATCGCGTTAACTGAAATTCGCGTATATCGTGGTTTATGATTAAACACAGTCAAAATTTAATACACAAATATAAAAATTATTTTATTCAATCACTTTAATTCTAAGAACACTATATAATACATAGGTACTCCTATTTTTTACGAAAAAATACATGTATTGTCTTTTGGGTAGCGTTTTGTTTACGTTCTTGTAAAATACGTTCATAACACCAAACACTGTTTTTAATCGTTTGACACAAGTTCTTGACACGGTCATCATTATTGTCTATACTCTGCAATTTCCCAACCTGAATAAATTTTTGAAAATCGCGTTATAGTGAAACCGCGCACAGCGGGGTATTACTGTATCATTATAAATAGAATATAATATGTATAGTGAATAGTCGATACTAACTTTAAGTTTCAACAGCGCGGTGAGGACCTGCTGCAGTATAGGTCGTATGTACTTGAGGGGCAGCGGTGAGAACTTGTTCTGTTTGAGGAAGTCGTACAGGTTCTGTTCCAGCATCTCAAACACGAGGCACGTGTGTGAGCGGTGCTGGAAACACTCGTACGCGCGGACGAAGTTGAACTCGTCCGCCGACTCCTGGGATAGGCGGGACAGGATCGACACCTGAAAAAACATAAACATAATATTATAAACCCGCTCAATATAACATATTATTTAAATGAAACTAATATTATTCGGATTACGCGACTTTATTTTTGTAAAAAACTACATAATCCTAAAGTTTCGACTACTTTTCAGCAACCGTGATCACGAAAAATGTAAGTTTCATTTAAATGAATAAAACGAAAATATTAGATCTCATTATAACACATTGTTGGTTTTAATTTAGTCAAATCAGTTTGATGTCACGTGACCATCTATTAACAATAGATGGCGCTGGTGGTTGTTTATCAAAATATATTAGTTTAAAAACTTTTCAGCCGGTAAAAAGAGAAATAGTCGCAGGAAGAACTATTAAATTTATTAATTATTTTTAGTCTCTAAATAATATGCCTAGATCTGTTTCAATAATGTCAAAGCTGAATTAATTAATCACATGATATAGATCTTACTGACTGGAGAAACGCCAGCCGTATGAGGACGCATTATAAATCATGAGTGTTACATATATAACATATGACGAAGTCATGTTATGTATTAAGATGACGGGAAAAATATTAACAATACTGTAACATGTCACTAAAATACTCAAAACAAATTTAATTTACCAATATATATGAAAATATATTGTTCTTAGTGTCTTTATATACGATTAGCTTCTGGTCCTTGTTGACTTTTGAAATAAAAAGAAGTGTATAAAATGTGTAAATTTCATAGATCTGGTAACTAACTGCCATTGACATCTATAGTCTTTTACATGACTACTTACACATAACAAATGTTATGCCACTATTTAATGTCAACTACACTTGATTACAGTATAAATTATAAGCTACACCACAATGTAATTTCAACCAAATCGGTTCAACATATTTCATGTAACAATGTAACAAACATCCTCATAAACTTTCAGACTTATAAGCAGTAGCGGTAGTAATAGTAGTAGTATTTGTATAATGACTCATAGTACTAGTAGTAGTAGTATTTGTATAATGACTCATAGTAATAGTAGTATTAGTATAATAGCCAGCTGACCTCAATCTGCCCCTGCCGTGCATAGCTGGGATGGTTCTTGAGTATCTTGATGGCAACTATCTCGTTGGTGCCCTTCTTCCAACACTTCACCACCTGCCCGAAGGTCCCTCGTCCGAGGAACTCCAACACCTCGTACCTACACAAACATATGTTAATAAATACTGTTGTATGTATGTATATACAAACATATTATAATAAAAAACAGACTCTTATATATAATAATTTTATATCTAATGTATAAAAAATAGTAAGAAGTATAGTTTCTAAATATTTGTTTTACTTTACAACTGTAAATAGTATACAATATAGTAAAAAGAATCACTTATTCAGAATTTGTACTGAATGAAACAGTTATGTTTGAATAACAATTTAAATCAACAATATATTATATAGAGAATAAAAAAATAATTTAACATTTATACTCTCTGGCCAACAATTACTTGACTTTAAATCAAATACACATATACTTTAAAAATCTAACGGCGTGTAATAAATAAAATAATAAAGGAATATTATCTCTTATATTATATAAGAGATATTGTTATGACACTGCATATAAACAATGATATTTAATATACTTAAACAAAAATATAGTATGTTAAATTCTATAGTGACACGAACTTATTATATAAAGGAAGCAGTAATGTATATAAAGAATGATGAAGTTTTGATAAATGGCATATTTTGTAATAATTTGCTCTTACTGTTACTGTATTACTACTAAACTAATGAATTAATTTTAATATACAGCTAACTAGAAGCTTAAAGTTAGTATATTAGATAGTTTTGTCTTTATGAGTGTGTATAAATGTGTGATAAATAATATTTACCTATTGGACGAGGAGTAGAGCACCTCATGCTGCACCAGCTGGTAGTCCCCATCACCACCACAGCCGGAGCCTGGGCGGCGAGCATATAGTGTGACGACACGACAACGGGAGACGGGAAGAAACCGCAGCAGCATGGGAACATACAGGACAATATAACGTATAGTAACATAGGAACTGTTATTATAACTATTATATGTATTATATGATTATAACTACTATGGAAAAAATACTAGTATAGTAAACAAAAATATAAACGAAATGATATACATATATAAAAAGTATGAGGCATGAAATGAATTCAAAGTTCAAACAAGCTACAGTTACATACAAGGGGTGTGGGTGTCACCTCCTGGTAGGTTGGTTGAAGTTTGTACATAACATGGATATTATTATATATTATATGAGTCTTTTATATACATGTGTATGAATGTGTGGATGTTGTGTGTGTTTGTATGTATGGATATGTAAAAAATGTTACACAGTTCAGATTGTTTTTTCTAAGTTATTAAAAAGGTGCCCAATAAAATAATTATGTAACATTTTTGAATATCTTTTTAATAAACAGCCCAAAAGATTTATCTATTATTTGTCTTCAAAGATATATATTTGTTTTATGTAGAAACGTTTATTAATGTGAACAAAAAAAAAAACAAAAGGTTTCCATACATTTATAAATATCTTTTAAAACTAAGTCTTTCAATTCATGTTCTCATTTAATTTGTGTTTATCTAATAGTATATTATAATGTCTGAATGAATCGCTGCCAACATCAAGCATTGTAGAGATTCTTGTCGACTTAATGTTTTACAATATATATGACCATTACAATAGAATAACGTTCCTAAATCCTAGCCAATAATATATATAATACTAAGTTTATATCAACAAATTATTTCACAATATTACACTATAGCTATTGTCACTAATCGTGTATCTAATACGACGGTTGTATAAAACATTTAGCGTCACGCGAACTATAATCCATCTTTATATGAACATATATCGACTTAATACCTCATGAATGGTCTGAACACACTGTATAACCATTAACTACACGATAGTTTTTTAGTTTCCTCGACAATATAAGTTAACGATACTTACTATACTGTGTAATAAATATATTTTAATGTACAAATAACTGTTAAATGTGTTGTAAACTATACTATAAGGAAAACAGTCTGAACGTACGGTCATAACGGAATAAATTATGTACCATGTGTGTTTTTATCCCTACTAATATTATAAATGCGAAAGTAACTCTGTCTGTCTGTCCGTCTGTTACGCTTTCGCGCCTAAACCACTGAACTGATTTTAATGAAATTTGGTACGGAGATGGAGTTGACCTTAAGAAATAACATAGGATAGTTTTTATCCCAGACTTTTGAAAGGTTCTCTTGGAAACACGATATAACCGAACTCCACGCGGGCGAAGCTGTGGGCGGAAAGCTAGTTAATTATAGGATGATACAGAATGTGTGTAATTTGAAGAGTGACCGTCTGTATGTAGCTCTAATTAAGATGAATCTCGGGTTGCATCGCGTGTGTGTGTACATGTGTGTGTGTGTCTATGTGGGTGTTTGTGTCTGTGTGTGTGTGTATGTCTGTGTTTGTGTGTGTGTGCGCGTCTCATCCAGGAGGTAACATAACAATGCGTCCATACGTTTGCTACCTTGCGGCTGGGCCGGGTTGGCCCCGGCCGCCGCCAGCTGCTTGCTGTGCGCCGTCGTCGTGCCGCCCGTCCGCTGCCGACCCGCCACAGCCACACCCGCAGCCACAGTCGCCACAGCCGCCACACCCGCCGCCACTCCTGACCCGCTATCTGCCACACTGTCGATACATACAACACTCATGATAATATATTAATAATAACTAAGGTCGACTGATTCGGGCGTATTAATACTACTATCATCCAATATTCGCTACAGTCAATCTTCTTAAACAAACCCACAATGACAATTACTATTACGACTGAATTCATAATGATAATTATTGGATCCTTTGGTTTCTTCTTCTTAAATAATAAATCAATTTTTACTTTTCCGCCTTAATCTTGTCACCAGATCAGGATTCCCATACCACAAGTCATTACAATATTTTCATTTAATATGTTTTCTTACTGGCTCTATCGTATACAATATAACTATTTAAATCATTCAGTGTTCAATCAGGAGATATATTTTAACAAATACTACTCTACATATAAAACAATAACCGTTCAGTAAAACAATATAACTATATATCGGTCAACAGACACCAGTACTATACATTTAACTGTAATAAGATAAGAACCTTCGTCTTTATGACCGCAGTGCTCAGTATTTAGAGATTAACCGTTTAAGTTACGTATTGTTAAAATTCCAACTAACGCGAAATCCTTTTATTATTTCCAATGCGACTTTATCATTCCCTTTAAGAATTTGTAATGATTTCTTGGTATAAGTTATATAAATTATAATCCACCATTAGTTAAAAAGATATAAGTTTTTTAATTGTTCCGAAAATACGAATAGTACTCTAAAATAACAATGTAATCATAAAATTATTTGCGTTACTAGTAACGGTGTGGTCATTATTTATTGCATGTAATATTTTACGAGCTCGTTTGAAATGCCAAAATCATGATCTTGTAGAGGCTGTGCAATAACTAGATGTGTATATGTTCTTTACAACTCAATTCAAAGGTCATCTAATAACTTCCTATTTGAAAGGCTTATATATACTAAGAAATATATATATACATATATTAGTAATATATTATTATGCATTACAAAGGTCTGCAAATTATATATTTTCTATGGAGGTATATCTGTATCAAACTTGTGCATTTTATTATTCAACTTTCTCTTTTCCTTAAATGTTTTTAACAATATTAAATTAATGCAGTTTTTATTTCGTCTTTTTACAGCTTTATAGGTACATATAGGTACCCTTAAAGTAGCTTTCTATAGATATTGCTTCTTATGTTTTAAACAGAATACTGTTGTTGACAATATATATAATTCTTTATATATAAGATTCAACCTTCGTCAATAACCTTTCCTGTAACATTTATATGTAAAAATCTATGAATGTTCTCATTATATATTAAATTTAAACAATTTATATTTGATACCTTACAATGAATTAACGTCAAATATATCATAGAAAATATTAAAAATATATTCATTGATTGGTATCACGGTCACTGTAATTATGAATTTTAATCAACAATATATATGACGTCTCCTAACTTGATTGTGAAACGTAATGCATATAAATATAATCTAGAGATCAACTTACGTTGGTTCGATCTCGTAATCATCGTCAAAGTAATCTTCTGTTTCAAACTTAATTCTAGGTATGGACAAATCCATTCTGTAATACATATAACACTCACTACACACTACACACAGACTCACTGTACAATATTCACATCATATATAACACAACTATATTAATTAAAACTTCGTTGGCAGTGTAACTTGGTATATGCAGTATGAATAGCGACGCTTGCGCATATTCGAGGGTTGGGGATGTAATGACGCCGATACTAGAGGTGGGGGTAGCTTGTAGTGGGGGGTGTCTGTCTGTCAGGTAGCCCGGGGGTCGCTAAGGACCCCCGAATTCCCCGTATTGTACTAGTCAATAATAATATCAGCGTACGCGCACCGCTATACTCAGAGTCGGGTCCGTTGTGTTTACAAATTATATTGTATTGTTATTATTATGGAATGCCATTGAAATGTTTGTGTGAGGCTGAATGTTATGAATTATTAATTATTCATATAAATAATATTTATTATATATTTTTGACATTCCATTTAAATTTTAATCATATACCTATATGACTATATACGACTAACGATTTAATTGAGGAAATATAAAAGGTATGTGTTATAATATATACAAAATATACATCAATATTCATCAGTACTTGTGTGTTATAATAAATTTTGCTATATTGAATATATCGAGCCGCGCTTGAAAAAAACATATCAGTTATCTAGAGTATGCTTATCAGTGGGACAGATAACGGAATTTCAAGCCTCTTATGTGTTACCATCGCGAACAGTACACACACATACATATATTTTAACCAAATATTTATCATCACCAATATATGTACCTACATATTTTTCGACAGTATTCTGTTATGAGAATGAAGTTGTAATACCTATTCACATTACTATCTGCCTTTGGATATTTAAAAACACATAAAAGTTTTGTTTGTTTATATAATTTTGTTATATGTATATAAAATTTCATCATAAACTTCCAAGCTCGATGCTAGGAATCAGATTAGACCATGCATAAGTGCAGGTAAACACTAATTACAAAGTAGAACATAATTAGCTAACTTTCTTTTAGCGCTTGGCTTATTAGTCTGTTAGAAATTAAGAATTCTTTTGTATAAAAATTCATTACTGTTAATTTGAAATACGCATAATATAAATGGAATATATAATGAACATTAAAATAATTAATATTAAATTGTAGTATTCAGTTTAAGTATTTAAAATGAAATCATTAATTCATTGATGCTAAGACATTAACAACTAATTAATCATTAAGCTTAATTTAGTTCCGAGAATCTTAGAAACAAATACACAATATGAGGGTTAAAAGCAACAACATTTCGTAGACTTGTCCGACAACTTTTACAAAAATATATACACAGAAAAATAGTCTTAAAACCTTTAATTCCCGTGAATTTTAAACTTCATTATTAAAATACTAATAAGATAATCTGGATAAGATACAAGAAAAATATTTGAATATCATTAGTGATAAGATCTATATTTAAAAAATTCAACATGATATACAGGGTGACTGGTGAATTACTATCGATATTTGAGGACGTGATATTTGACGATCATATATGACAAAATAAAAATTAATATAACATAAATATTAATAAACTTCTAAGTAAAGTTAACCAAAAGTTATGTAATTAATTACGCATCGTATGAACACCCTACAGATTAGGTATACGTACACACACACAAACGCGTGCGGTGGCGTGGTGTTGTATCAGCACGCCGCCGCACGCGTCCACACTTGGAACGTGTCAACACTTTATTTATTTATACGGAAATTTTGTCAAAAATTAAGTGCCTATTTTTTTTACATAATTCGAATGAGAATCATGTACCGAGTATTCTCCTTAAATATTGATAGTAATTCACCAGTCACCCTGTATATTATAGTGTGTATGTATGTGTGTGTGTGTGTGTGAGTGTGTGTATGTGTGTGTGTGTTCGTGTGTTACCTTTAGTAGTAGGTATGTATTTATCCGCGTGTGAGCGGGCGAGTAGAGACCGCTCCGCATCGCACGCGCAGATCAGCGAGGCGGGCCTGCACCGACCCGCGCCGGCTCCGGCGACCGACCACTCCTCACTCTGTAATAACATAACGCATACATTAACACATTTAATACATATAACAACTCCTTATATTACTCTATCGTAACGTGAAAGGGCGAATACTGGAGAATGAAAGGTAGATTTGTTGAGACCAAACTTTCTGATTTTATTTTTATAGTAATCACAGCTTGACTAGGAAGCCGTGACATATAACGAGATTTATTATCAAAACATCAGAATAAATAAAAATTATAATTTTTTCTCTAAACGTTTATATTTTTACGAGTGACTCACTTAATAGAGTAACTATACGCAAAAAGCATCGAGGAATTATAATCAAGTGTCATAGTATGTATATTATTTTGGAGAAAAACGTATACCTACTCTTACACTGCGGGGCCATTATTAGCCAAACATAGTTAAGAAACATATCAAGGAGACTGGATTTCATAAGAAAGAAACATCATCGATCGTTTTAAAGATACTATGTCACAAACAGACACACACAGAATATTATTATTCCGTCTGTCGCTTTAAAGTCCTGAATAATGTTAAATTTGGTTTAACGATGTTACATAACACATAAGAAGACATCATATACAGGGTGTAACCTTAATCTCGTGTCTCTTGTATGTAGGTACAGTAATCTAGTATCTATCTATAGTAATATTTTAATTTATATCATAATAATTGTACATCTTGAACATCTGTTATATAAAGGATTTATTTATGTATGAGACCTCATCTTCAGATAATATTTCCATCTTATTTTCATTATTATATTACTCAGAGCCGTCGAGTCTGCGCTAAATCTGACCGGATGGGGATGAAATTGCTCTGTAATGATATTTGGTATTAAAATATATATATATATAACTAGAAAATATTGGCTACTATTCTCCATTACGTCAGTTCAATGGAGTTAAATGAATGTTTGCCTTATATAGTATAAATATTCCCACTATCTATAGAAGCAGAAAAATATTTATATGCATGAATTTATTTTGTTATAATAATAAAAATATATTTTTTCTGAGATTATTAATCGTTTTAAGTAACACAAGAATTTTGAAACAATCGTTTATGTATTAAATATTAAACCATTTGAATTCGGTTAACAAGGTCACATAATTTATCAATGAAATTATTGTTTTCAACTTTTTAACGTTACAAAATGTTTAAGTAATTTTTATAAAGAGAAGAAGTTCTATTAACATACTTTTTACATCAACTTATGTTATTAAAAGTCTTTACCATGACAATAACCAAAGAAAAATTAGTAGATAAATAAAAGCAGTTTCCTTTAGCAGTAAACGAACGAATTACATTTTCATTTTGTTTCAAATTCACATTGTTTGGACTCATAAAGAAACAAGACATATATGATATGTATATAGTGAAAACTATATAATAAATATATGTTTGTAATACATATTGTTATTGTTAGCAGAACACGAAAATATGTTTATATAACAATATGACGGATGCGGTCGATATCAAGAACCGTAGCAATAATATTGATAAATACTTGGTTTTTGTTAATTGATAATACATATATACATAACATTATCGTCAACAATACTCTCATAAATAAATAACATATATAAATATACAAGACTCATCTTAATCTAGGAGACCAGGTCGCGATGACTTCTCCATATAACATAAAATAAATAGTTTACTTTTCCTCATAATAAAAAAAAAATCCAATAAATTCTGCATAGCCTCAAAGTTATTCGCATTGGGTAACATTTATTAGATGTTTGCCAATAATCCCACGAACAGCGATAAAAGTTATTACAACTATATTTACAAACAATGGAACTTAATAAAAATTTAACATAATTTTTCCACGCCGTTGAGAAACAATAATACTGAAAGTGTGTTAGTCATGTAGATAGCATATTAATAAAAACAATAGAACTCTGTACGATATCATGAATACGAAACTTTATCTATTTGTCTGAGGAATTTTCACTATACAATACAGAGAGACGAAACTTCTCATCATTCAATGTATTCACCGTGCGGGTGCCGGGTCCATCGTTGCAGGGAGAGGAGCTTCAACAGTGCCTGGGACTTGTGACCCAGGTGTAGGTTTAAGCCCCTATCTAACGCTATTTATTTGAATGTAATACTTGTATAGATAGAAAGAAGCTCACAAGTGCTGCCAATAGTTCTAATAAACAGTATATAATTTCAAAATAATATAACTATATATATAATTTTATCTTCAAGCTGTTTATATTTCTTGAACGCCATTCAAAAGCCGTTCATCTTTAAGAATACTTTTCCATTTAACGGTCCGACGACCACACTTTTTACCAATAAAAACTGAAATTCTTGATCGATCATCAGTAGAAACTGTCCCCTTATAAGTTGCAACAATTATACGTAATACAATTTCCTTTTGGCCTCATTACGATTCGATCTGCCGAACTAATCAAACGTGTATTGTTTCACATACCATTGTATGTTGTCCAATAATTTCCAAGCAGTATTTTATCTGATGTATAAAACAAATACACCTGTTTGTTACTCGCTATTCATACAAATAGGAATAATTTGAATCGGGAAATAGGAATAATTAGAATCAAGGACTTAATGTGGTGATGATTGTTTCATCATATAGAGTGAAGGATGAAGCTTTGTGATGTCTTTAGTGTGTTAACGGTCCACGGGCGACAGGAAGACCGGCTCAGGGTCAAAGTACTTTGTTACCGACCGAACGAGATGCAATCAATGAACCGCTATCGGACTTGCAATGACGACACAATAAAAATTACCTGTTCCATACATATAAAGTATATATATAGCTCACTACACTTATTTGTTCAAATTTTAAATGTTAAAATCATTGACAATAAACAGATGATATACAAAGGTATTCTATTATAAATGCAATTTTTATTTGCTTTGAGTATGATTTCATTAAAAAAAATTACATTTCTTTTATTTTATCCCGATATATTCCAGCAGCAATTGCTATCATATGTACCTTGCTAATTTTG